GCGTGTGTGTGCACGTGCTCTGTGGTGTTGTACTGGCTCTTCTGGCTCTTCGGCTTTGGCTTTGGTAACTGTATGAGAAATATGGCATGAGAGTTCTCAGGTCTCCATGCCATGACAGGGCTCTTCCATTGCTGGTTGGCAGAGTGGTGCTGGCAGGAGGAAAATGAGCGATACACAGAGCTTTTCCTGTCTCTGGCTCAGAGAGCAACACAACAGATTGGGAGAGGCTTCAGGAACACCAGGGAATGCTTTTGCTGGCTGCTACATTTATAGTTAACTTAGAACTGCTTACCAGATGAGCAAAAGAAGCCAGGGAAATGCCTGTTGTTTTAACCATCCCTATTCACTGTCTATGTTGTTCCTTCCTTACTACACTGTCCTACCAAGTGACTTCGGTGAGAGGTACAGTACTTTGTGACTGCAGGGGGTAAAGGCTGCCCCCACCAGCAAAAGACATGTTCATGTCTGAATACCTAGGGCTCCTGTTACCCTGTTTGGCAAAAAGGTTTTGCAAAAGTCAACAAGTTTGCAAAACTGAAGAGACAGAGAAAGAAAGGAGGAAGGGGAGGCAAAGAGGAAGAACAATTAAGGTATGTTATGTACATGTACCAGCTCTCTGCCATTAGGGCAATCATTATGTGCTGCAAACATGCACCCATAGAGAAAGAAGTGACCGTGAGGAGAAGGTGGACGCGGAGGTTTCCTTGAGGCTGGGGCAGACACCAGAGCTGGAAGAGCCAGGGTCAGAGTCCTTGGCCACAGGGAGCGTGGCTCAGTTGGATTCCAGGCTTCCAGCCTCCAGAACTGTGAGGAAATACAATTCTATTGTCTGAAGCCACCAAATCTGTGCCAATTTATTGCAATGGGCCTATGAGGTGGGTATGGTAGCCAAGGCCATTTAGTGTCTATCTGCACCTTGAAAAGAGTGGCCTCAAGAATCAGGCAGAGCATACAGATGTGAGGAAAAGCTGTCTGCTCCGAGGTGTCTTCTGGTATCACAGATGACCCCTCAGTGGTCACGGGGAGCCAGCATCTTAGACACCAAGGTCATTTCACTCAGAGGGCATAGCTGACCAAGACTATCTGGGCTGTGGCCATGCAAAGAGGAAAGTCATTCATTTGCTGCCACTCCTAGAATTGCCTTGGACAGAATGGTCCCCAGGGTTTTTCCAGCTAAACTTTAATTTGCTCAAGCTGAGTTCTCCCCGCTTTCCTCAGGAGGCTGTTCTCTCTCAGTCTTTGCAGTTTAATAGGCAGAGACAAGCAACAGGATATTGCAGAGAGCAGGGGCTCTATCCTATGTAACTCTATACCACAGAACTGCCAGGGTGGCTGGCTAATTTCTTTACTCTCAGGAAGAGGAAAACGTAAGCCAATGGTAAAGCATGGGTTTTCTTCTTGCTTCTCCCTGCAGACTGGTGTCTCCTTCAGCACAGTCATCAGACCTTGGTTGTCTCCACTTACAGCACCAAACCAAGTATCTGGAACATAGCTCTGTAACAGAAAATCTATGTAGTGCCTTTATGCCATACTTTTACAACAAATAGAGTCTCTCTCCTGCTCTGGTTTTCAAGGCTGGTTGTACATTAGCACCAGAGAATTTAAAACAAAAAACAAATTGATAAAGGAAAAGCTATGCTTTGTGCCCCATTAAATCATTATCTTTAGGGCTGGGCCAGGACATAGGTGTCTGTAAACAGCAGCCCTGGTGATTGTCAAGTGCAGCTGGGGTTGACAGTTCCTGCCCTAATAGCTCCGTGTTGCACTTGCCTTCGTGTTCTGGGAAATTTCTTTCAAAGCAGATTTTTATAATCAGGTTAAACCTTTGATGAAATTAGGAATGAGTCCAAGACTTCTCTAATCTGAATTGTTTTTCATTGGTAGATATTATACTTCCTACATGCTGTACTTACTTTTTTTTGCCAAATACCCTGATAATGGTGAATGTAGCTCTCATGTTGTGCATGCTAGTTTTGTAACTTCAAATGTACTTTTCAGAGGATCTAGCAAGAGCAGAGTTTTCAACTGGCATCCTGAGAGGGGTCTGAGAATCCTTAAGAGCTTTTTTGGAGGTTCTAACAGGGGAGCACAGCTGCTTGTATGACCCTGAGAAAACAGTCCTGCTCTATTGGGGTGGTCCTCTTCCACGGAGCGTGAAGCTTCAGAAGAGAGGCACATGGAGTGAGAGGGAGGAAGGGGACACCCGCCTAGCCAGCCAGATCAGCCAAACCAACCCTGGCGATCTATGGGGTGGCAGATGTCGCAACCAGATCGCCCTCACATCTGCGGTCTGAGGACCCTAGTCTAAAGGATGAGTGAGGATGGATGCTATGTTGCAAAGAAGAAAGGATCAGGGCTAGGTTAGTCCTCTCTGCTCAACCTTTAGCATTACATTTTTCATTGGTTATGGAATTTTAAAACTCAAACAATTTTCTATTATGTCTTTAAAGGTATCAAAAAAATCTTAGGTAAGTAGACAGAAAGCAGCACTAGGATGTCGAGCAAATTATTGAGAAAAATAGTAGGTACTACAATTTAGTGATACTGAAATTCAAATGGAATGGATAACAATTTGTGACATCACAGAATATAAAAGAATATCCTGGGTCATGATCTCAAAAACTATCATCCATGTTTGTTTATATGTAGCACAAAATGTTCAGGTATCAAAAAAGAATATTTAAATTTGGGGAGAAAAGCTAAACTCTTTAGGCTAGCCCTGTCTTTTAAGCTGAAATTGTTCCTTAAGGCTTCCTTAAGCATGATGCTCAATATTTCATATTGGAGTCCAAAATTCTGTTAAATATGTCCTTTCTTATGATAATAAAGTACAAGAGATGCTCCATAAACTCTAATAATTTATCCAAGGGTTGATTAAAAAAATACATTACAGCATTAACAACTGTGCAATTGTCTCTTTGAAGTGGGCATTTCACAACTCTCAGCCACAGCATATGCCTGGTTGCTGGGCACAGGGCAAAATTGCCATAGCAACACAATCACTAGTGCTGCTCTGAAATGCCCTGTTTGTGTAGCAAGTGATCTAGATGAAGAATGTCCTTGGACACCTGCCTCTTATTGTAGCTTTTGTGTGGGCCTGGGGGTGGGCAGGACTTGGTTTTCTCTTTTTCTGAATTTGAGGAAACACACACATACACACGAATATGTACGTATTCACATATCTACTTATATGAATATGCTTTTCGTTATTACTTATATGTTGCTACTTACATGCATATTGTTATTAATCAATGCTTTCATCTTAGCTATGAGAAAAAAAGAGGAGTAATGTATTACAAATAACCTTGCCCTAAGCGTTAATTGGAAGGGGAGGATTCTTTTGTGTTCATCACATTAAAACTGTCACTGTGTATAATTTTAGAAAGTTTGTTTTCCCTTAATAAAACACAACTTGCTAAAATTGCATTGCAAGGTATAAAATTTTCTTTCTTATATTTTACAATCATGTTCTAGATCACATCTGTTGAATGCATGCATTAAAATTTTCTACACAGTATATAATTAAAACTGTACCCCATAAGATATAAATTACATACTCTATAGGTATGGTCTAGTAAGGGTGTTTTGGCACATGTGTAAGTTTTTTAAATATAGATATTAGCAAATATTGGAATTACCAAAAATGAATAAACAAAAAGTAAAGATTTTGTAACAATAAATTGGAAGATAAAAAAATCCAAGTGTAGAACCTAAAAAATTCAAGAATTCAATTGTTTGTAAGTTAGGACAAGAACAGAAATTTATAAACCAGGTCTATATACAGCAGGTTAGCCCAAACCCATCTGCTGGCAGCATTCCATCTTTGTATTTTCAGAGAAGAAATAGAAGCAGCAACTAAAATCCAAGTTTTAGAGCTCTGACCCAACTATGTATGCCCACTGCAGCTGAGATTATATGGGCCACATTAATGTAGGTGGTTAAAGACTTAAAGTCAGTGTGAAATAAGCATGACTCAATTGTGAATGCCAACAAACAGAATAAGGAAAAACACGTAATTCAGGATAATTGATATTCTGTTATAACTCTATGGCAACTACTCTCTTGAGAAGTATCAGATTGGCTCGGTGAAAGAGGCTTCATGTATTACATGGATCCTTATCAATTTTCTACTTTCATTTACTCAGCCCTGAGGCCTGCCTGATACTGAGAGAAAAAGTGTTAGCTTCTGCTATTGAAATAAGTTCCTCTGAGAAGGAAATCAAATAAATAATTGACTTATATTCCAGAATTATTCACCTTCACTGGCAGACAACTATATTAAGAGGGAAGCCTCCATACTTGCAAAGGCAAAACACTCACTGGCTCAAATAAGAAATTATGGAATGAAGTCAAACAGAGTCTCCAAATGGTAAGCATCATTTACTAAAATTTAAACAAAACCCACATAACTTCCTTTTGAAAATGTTCACTCTGCTAATGAGAGCTGAGCTTAAGATGATTATGTTACATGGAGAATAACAAATGGTATGATGTGTATACTAAATGTGAAAAATAACTCTTCTTACAGAAGATTAACCTATCTTTATGAATTCCCCAAGTTACCTACCTATTCACAAAATTTTCCAAATAAACTGTCCATCGGTACATCTCACCAAATTTCAATTACTCAAATTCAGTAGGATGAGTAGCTATATTTTCACAAAACAATTTTTCACTGATCATTTCCTGGACTTAATGCCTTATATTATAGAGTTCAGAAAAGAGAAAGCTTTACAAAATATGAACCATACTATGTTATTCTATTTTAGTTGAAGAGATAAAGGTTATATATACATATATATATATGTATATAACTCATAAGTTGTATCATGCAGGCTTATAAGAAATGATTTTTGCATCTCAAAATGGTTGAATATTGATACTCTCATATTGATTAACCCAATAAGATGTTATGGTTTGTGTCTAGATGTCCCCCCCAAAGCCTCATGTGGTCAAAGCCTGTTTTGGAGGTGGCTGAATCTAGAGTGTGTAGGCCTGAGAGCGCTAGGATTAAGGGGATGAGTGCTACCCGCCCTAAGTAGCTGAATAAGATAAAAGGGGCAGGGAGCGGTCTCTTGTTGCTTTTTCTGCCTTCCGCTGCCAGGAACTGTGACCTCTCTGCCAACCTGCTGTGGAGCCAGCTGATTATGGACTGAAACCTCTAAGAACTGTAAGTCAAATAAATTTTTTCCCCTTTAACTTTGGGTGTTGGATATTTTGTCTTAGCAAGGAAAGAAAAGTAACTAACACAACAGATACATAATTAACATATATAGGTGTAATCAAATAAAAGAAACAAGGAAATGCTTAGTTATGACTTGAGGTTTTATAGAAAGATTCATCTACAACACTGCATTTGAGCTATTCCTTTAGGAATGTTATCTAAGTCCACTGAAAAGACAGTTTTGTGTTATTATCTATTTGTTTCTTCTTTATAAGAATATTTTTGGTCTATGTCTTATACTATTTTGAAGATAATAATACACAGTGTATTAACTATTGTTTTCTTAATATTTTGTTAGGAAATTTTGTTTCATTTTTTCTTAAAAAAAGAATAGTAGTGTTTTGAAAGAGTGGGATGGGGAAAAGTTGGTACAATGGATAATTCACCCTATACATACATATCGAACACTTATTAAGTACTCAATACCAAGGTAAGCATGGATCTAGAATAGCCTAGTGTGGTAGTACATGCCTGTAATCCCAGCACTCTGGGGAGCTGATTTAGAAAGATCCAAGTTCAAGACCAGCTTGAGCAACTTAGAGACTTAGTGAGTACTTGCCTCAAAATAAAAAAAATAAAAATGAGGTTTGGAATGTAGCGCAGTGAGAAGATCCTGGGATTAATACCCTGTGCTAGAAAGAAAGGAGAGAAGGGAAGGGAAAGGAAGAGGGAAATGGAGAGGGAAAGGGAAAAGGGAAGGAGAGGGGACTGGAAGGAGGGAAGGGGTGGGGAGGGAAGAGAAGGGAAGCTCCACTGAGCTTACTCTCCAGCTTACCATGCTTAGACTGAAGAGGAGAGATAAATGGGGAAAAGAGACATGATCACTCTCTCTTTCAAGTGGTAAAGATTAAGGAGAGACTAGAATGTGACCAAGTTGATTTTTGTAAGGTTCCACATGTCATGTGTAGGCCCACAAAGTCAAGATAACAGAACATTAGTCATACTCAATTTAATGATGAGCATACCAACAGTTCTTTAACCATGCTTCTCATAAATTAAAATGTCTATGATTCTAAGACAAAATTGTAATGAAAAGTGTTTGGATCTTTTAATAAAATTTATACAAATCCTCCCTAATTTCCCTTGAATATGCATGATTAGCATTTCTAAATCATCTTCTGGCATGCCAGAAAGGTCTCATCATATTTTAACAAAGGTTCTGTGAAAAACAGTCAGTGGTCTAACAGTAAAGCAGGCTTTCCTACAGTGGAGCTTTCCTATGACTTCCACATGCTAAGATGTGCCTGCTCTGGTTTGAAGGTTCATGTCCCTGAAATGCCCACATTGGGATAACATAGGTGATGACATTAGGAGATGAAGCCTTCGGAGGGGTAGGTCATGGGCCAGCCCTCACCCATGGGCTTACTGACTCATGAACGACCCCTCACCCACAGGAGGACATGGCATAAAGGTGCTGTCTCTATGGAAGCAGACCCTCCGCAGACCCGGGGACTCGTCAACCTTGAAATCTGTGAGAAACAAATGTCTGCCGTTAGAAGCTACCAATCTCAATCTATGGTAAGACAACTAGATTCCTTTCTCCAAAGTGGGAATATCATTATGTTAGTATTTTAAAACATATTCCACAAAGCATTTGTTGGTTTGCTTGTTTTTTTTTAAGTAACACCTATTAAGAACTTGGAAGACATAAGCAATTCTTTTTGGACACATATAAGAGGGAAAGTAAGTCGTCCTATCGTATGGGGCATGTGCTCAAGAAGAGACTATTAGGTTAAGGCTAGAAAGTTTGATGGAAAACTTCTATACTGAAGACTTTGAAAAGTCTTTGGAGAAGCATGTGCTTTATTCCTTGGACAAAGGGAGGCCATTCTAGCACCTAGCACCAAGCACCAAGGCTTACAGGCAGAAAACTGCCATAGGCAAGGAAGGGACATGAAAGCGTGGCAGAAACATGTTTAGCCAGCACTCAGAACCAGACTTTCTCTAGCTGATGAAAAAAATAATAGTCATCTATCGGCCTTCTATTAGCTATGGTAGAATTTAAGGAGACAAGGCACACAGGCCCCAAACCGAGGTTTAGCAGAAGTGAGAAGCCTTGGGTTCACATCTTGTCTAAGTTACTTTCTCATGTGTGATTGGGGGCAAATTAATTCTTTCTTCCTGATGAGCCCGTTTCCTCATTTACAAAAGCAGAACCTCAGACGTCTCATAAGGTTGTTGTGATCCCTAAAGGACACGATACATGTAAGGTGTTCGGCACAGAGCTTGGAACCCTTTGGGTGGTTGTGTTGGTCTTGTTGATATTTTCTGCTAATTTGAGAATAATTAAAGATGAAAGGAGAAAAATCTCCAGGATTATTAACATTTCAAAACAAGCTTGGCTTTCTAAACTCCCCTTGCTTCTTCATGGAGGAAAAAATATTTGCTTTGAGATGGTGGATTTTAGGTGCCATGGAAACAAGAATTCAACAGACTTCAAGTAAATAGAAAGCAAGCAGCTGAGTCTGAATTTTTCCTGAAAATATAACCATAAAATTTTGAGCAGATCAAGATTTCTATGGAATTTTGAAGGCAACATAGGTATGTATTACTATATTAGCAAATCAGCTTTTGAATAGTGAAAATTTCTATCCACTGAATATATGCTACCCCCACCTTTCTGTTTCTTATATCACACACATGCAAGAAATCCAAATGCAGTTTAAACGATGGAAAGGCAAACAGCACAATGATGATGTTTCTCTAATCAGGGTATTTTGTTATGATCAATGGTATAACTGTGCTTGATGAGTACAAATAATCATTTATTTCATACCTCAGAGTAAGAAAGCCTATTTAATGGCTTCATAGTTTAAAAGGTGAATTTTTAAAAGGAGAAAATCTTTTTGTTCTTTTTTCAGTCTTAATGTTTTGTGATTTTTCATTGTGAAAGTATGTGTGATAGAGATTTTATTGAACACAATTGATTTTCCTTAGTTGTAAAAGAATCTATGTGATTGACACTAAATAGTCCTCAAAGTATTATTGTAAAGCAGAAGTATCTTTAGAGATCAACTTCTTTGCAATGACTTTTGTCTGTCCTGTCATTTGAGAACCAATTTTGATTTTTTAAATGCTAAGAAAATTTCTCTGACTTGTAATCTATTTCAAGACTTAATGTGTTCTAATATTTCTTGGTATTAAAAATCACCAAGGACCCAACAATATTACAGCCCCCCTGTGTTAAGTCGATAGCTGAAGGCCAAAGTTGCAGGTGAATCACTTTTTATGGAAAACAAAAACCAAAACAAATGATTGTATTTCAAATCCATGCACAATGATTCTGATCTCATGGGAAGGCAAAGAGCTCTAATACAAAAGACCTACAAATTTCTCCACACTATCTGTCCAGATTGGAGATTTATGATAGCAGCAAAGAGATACAATAAAGTCATGTGGACTTTTTTTTTCAGGTTTCATTATGTATTATGAAAACAATACATTCATGGGATTGAAAAAGAAATCCAGCAATAAAAGTCTCCCTATATCAACCAGGATTCTAAGCTGTCAACTTTTTGTTGCATATTTCTCCAGGAAATTTCAATACATATACAAATGTATATGCATATTCTTTCTTTACACAATGGAACTATATCATATGCAGTATTTTTAAATTTGCTTTTCCTGAAAAATTTTATCTAAGAGATTCTTCCATAGCTTCACACATGAAGCAACATCATTGGTTCAAAAAGCACTGCAGTATTCCACCCTAGGGACGAACAATGCCTGACAGACTCAGAATGAGGATGTGATGGGCAACTTGCCACCCAAGTCCTTGTGCAAATTTGGACTTTTATTTTTAGATAGTTCTTAGTATGGAAAATACTTGGGGAGAAAATATCTATCTATCTATCGATCGATCGATCGATCGATCGAT